TGTTTGGCATTTCCTTGGTGCAATGCAGACACAGATTTACAAACAGTTAGCTTTTTACAGCCCCTGGTGAGTAAATATTGTTTGTGCATCTGCAATGATATATTTTATGGCCAGCTGTATGTATGTTACGTAACTTGGGATATTATGGAAAACACCGAATTCCAAAAACTAGTCAATGATTTACATTGCTATCAGTTAATAAATAAATTGCCAACCTGTTCACAATTGAGCCAGCATTGGGGGGAGACTTTAGAGTAAATGCTGGACAATTGATGGGGGGGGGGGTGAGGGAATGGAAAAGATATGGATATTTTACACATAGTTACATTGTTCTAGTTTGGACCAATGGGAAAATGCATATACTGTACCAGGGCTCAGAATTTTAAGTCCTAAGCTACTAGCCAGGCTTTAAGAGATACAACTTACAACTTAAAATATCCTCCATCACATGCTCTCCTTCTCCTCTACTCCCATCTCCTCCTCCAATTCAATCTCCTCCATCCCACATCCTCCTCCTTCATCCCATATCCTCCTCCTTCTCCATCCAATGTCCTCCTCCGCATTGTCCTTTTTCCAGTCTCATCTCCCCCATCCCATGTCCTCCTCCTCCAGTCCAGAGAGAGAGAAAATGAGGGAGAAAATGAGAGAGAGAGAGAGAGAGAGAGAGAGAGAGAGAGAGAGAGAGAGAGAGAGAGAGAACAAGGGAGAGAATGAGGCTCCGTTCACATATGGGCATTTTAAATAGTGGGAGGAATTGCTGCAATTCTGCCCACAATTTCAAAACCCACTTCTAAAATGGCAAATCACACAATGCAATTTTCAGGTATCATTCATTTTAATAGCACCTAAAAATGCAGTGTGGTCCTGCTGCAATTGATGAGTGATAAATTGTGCTGCAGTCGCAGCAAAACGCATTGCGCAAAGCTTATCAGCCAAAAAGGAACAGGAGCTTCTTTTGGGTGACAAGCTTCTCGTGTCGCGGTTTTCCGCGATTACAGCATGATTTATCACTTGAATGCCACTTGAAATTTGTGTTATTCGATTTTTCATTTTGCACAGGATTTTGAAATCATGGTGATTCTGCCCGCGATTCAAAACAAACATATGTGAACAGAGCCTGAGAGAGGGAGAGAATAAAGAGAGAGAGGGAGGGGAGAGAGGAGGGTAAGAAGGAGTAACAGAGGAGGGAAATAAAAGAGGGGAGAGGAGGGGGGAAGGGGAGGAGGAGAGAAGAAAGGAGGAAAGAAGGAGCAGAGTAAGAAGGGGTGGGGGGGCTTTTCTGGGTGCAGAAGGCTCACTCACCAATTATGCCTTCCCCTTTAGGCTGCTCTCTCCTAGGGCTGTGGCAACTAGCAGCTGTTGTTTCAAAACTGCCTCCCAGCTGCCCATAGAATTCTTCTTACAGTGCATTGAATGCAGGTGGCTGGAGTGTGGGTGGGGTTGGGCGGACACAAATGGGAGGCAGAGTTTTGGATTGGACCAGCAGCAGAATGAAGAGGGGGCTAGGTTGACAGTGCAGACAGAATGAGAGAAGGAGCAGATACAGCCCGCCTCCCGTGCAAGCTGCTTTCCTGGCTCTCACTTATCACTATGCCAGGCTGCCAGTGGCTGCGGAGGGCAGAAGCTAGATATAGAAGTTAGGGGCATAGCTGTTCTCCACACTGTCTGAGTCGGTCATGGTGTCTGGGGGAGAAGATGCACCTCCTGCAGCTGCACACACGGACTCCGCATTCTTCTTCTCCACTGGCTCCCCCTGATGGTGACCCTGTCTGGGACACACTTGCCCCCACGTTATTTCAACTCGCCAAATGTGAGCAGGCGAGTGGAAACTTCGAGGCCTGCATTTACCATACACGGCTGATGCCCTTGGAAGCTGGAAATCACTGAAGAAGACACCGTTACTCCAGTGATCGCCACTTGCTTCCTGGTACTGCGCCTAGCAGCTGCCCTGCTCCATGCTGAACACTGGAGGTCAGCAGTTAAGCATGGGCGTCATTCAGAGAATTTGAAATTGCTACTTGTCTGCTGATCTTATCATTTAGTACTTTTTAATAATGATCAAAGATAAGGACATACATTAGTAATTCCGGAATAACTCTCATTTTACTTGCTGCACAATTGTTTTGCTTTTCCTCTGCTATAACCTGCCAATTTCCATAAAGCCTGCTTGTGGACTTCATATTGTTTAGTCAGTGACTCAGGAAATACTGGAGCTAGAGATACAGTGAGGAACAGAAGTATTTGAACACCCTGCAATTTTGCAAGTTCTCCCACTTAGAAATCATGGAGGGGTCTGAAATTCACATTCCCACTCTGAGAGACAGAATTAAAAAAAAAATTCAGGAAATCACATTGTATGATTTTTAAAGAATTTATTTGTCTTGCACTGCTGAACATAAGTATTTGAACACCTAAGAAACAGCAAGAATTCTGGCTCTCAAAGACCTGTTACTGTGCCCCAACCTGATTTACTTCAGTTTTAAAAAAGGATTTTTTCAAGAAATTTCATTAGTGACGGGATTACTAAGACTGCTTTAACTGGTGGTAGTGGCAGCTTCGACAGATCTCTAAAAGCCATAGGAAAGTGTCTTCTTTAAATAATATAGTGAAAGCAGGTATAGCTTGCTAAAAACTGGTCAATGTCACAACAGTAACAGCTATCTCCTGGGTGTGCTGTGGTTGTATTGGTCCACCACTTTGGGAAAAAAGGCAGATGTGCCCTACCACTAGTTTGTGTGGCCCTCCAGGATATGCTCATCCCCTAATACCATCATGGGCAGAACCTCTGCTTTTCATTTTTTTACTCGCCATTCATTGTAGCATTTTTCAGGAGGTGGATGGAATGTCTAGTTTTTACCAAAATCTTTGGGATGGGGGTGAACATGTGATGTTTTTGGTACGCATTAGTTACTGCACAGCAATGCAGGGGCATGCTGCTTGAAAGAAGGCAGCTTCAACAAATGTTCAGAAACAAGCAGGGGCAGACTGACAACTACGCTGCACACTACAAACTCAAAGACAGGACTTAGCCACACAAAATCAAATAAAACATCCTTCCCCTTCCCCAAAGCCCCATAAGATTTACTGTTGTTTGTCCTGTTGTGCAAAAAATAACAAGACTTATGCAGAGCTACCTTTCCTTCAAGTATGGTATGTCTACTGGTACTTGGATGCCCCCAGGACTTAAGTCGCAGTTCTATAATCACAGAACTGGTATGCTCTCTATCAACCCTGAGAGAGAGAGAGAAAGAGAAAGAGAGAGAGAAAGAGAGAGCTAGTTCACTCACTACCGTGTATGGTAGCTTAACAATGTGGAAAGGTTCAAGGCAGGTTTCATATGTAAGAATTGTCAGGGCTAGTAGCTGACAGGACCCCATGTATGCAGTGGTCAGAACTGGGTAGCAGCTGACAGAGGCAGAGTCTGTTATTCCAAGCAATTATTGGGGCCACTGGCAATCAGTAGCATATCTATTATTCAGGAAAGGGTCAGGGCAGGTGGTAATCAGTGGCAAATCTGTTATCCATAACACCATAAACAAAATGAAAGTGCTTGCTTTTATTTAGTCAAAAAAATACTACACTATATACCTACGTTTTTGGGCTCTGTGCGGTGAGCTCTCCTTTTCAGGACACATCATTGAAGGATCACATACCAGCCTTTCTGTGGAGGAGAAATACTTACCTTGGAGGATTTTCTGCTACAAAACTGATTTATTTCAGTTCTGGTGAGTGCATAGTGGTGGAGGATTTCACGGATGTCTCCTTTTACACATTGGGATGTCACTTCACTTTATGACTGCAATTCATACTAATTGTGGGTGCAGTTTTAACATTATTGAGCACTTTTTGTACTGAAAGAGGTTTGATTGAGGACTTTTATACACCTTTACTTTAACCTTTAAAGTATTGTTTATTTAATTATTTATTAATTTTTTTATGATTGCACATATATATATATATTGTAGTTGGTGTGTAATAACACACAGTGGTTGCAAAGTATATCAGACTGCATATGAATTATATGATTTTCAGTCACATATGGAGTGGGTTCACCATTTGTGCTAGCTGCTTTTTATGTTTTTTTCTTTTAGCACACACTTGATTTTGTTAAATCTGTTATCCAGGCAAGGGTCAAGGAAGGCTGCAATCAGTAGCATGTCCGTGATCCAGACAAGGGTCAGGACAGGTGGCAATCCGTAAAATAATTCATATCCAGGCAAGCGGTCAGATAAGGGTTCAAGCACATTAGCAATCAAAGATAAGGCAAGGCTTGGATACAGGAGCCAGGAAGAAGAACACTAGCACAACTCCGGAGCCCTGGGCTTGTGATGCTCAAATAGAGCCCCACAGTCAATAACGACAGAGCTTTAAAGCATAGTTTAAAATGCATCCAATCCGCATGACATATGAAAAAAACAATGTTTCCTATGGTGCCTGTTCACATATGTGCGGTGCATTGGAAGTGCAGATTCAGTGCGGATTGAAAAAGAGTCCTGTCCGATTTCTAAGCTGTGTGGTCCGGTTCAGGTACAGATTACAGGCTCATTGACTTCTATGGAAACCACTTCTGAATCACACATGACATGAGTTTGTGAACACTATTTCAGGCCAGTTTTCTCTCTTCAAATCCTGACCTGAACCAGACCTGAACTGCTGTAAAACTGCTTTTCAATTTGCACTGTAACCGGAGCTGTCAAGCTGCACTGCACATACCGTATGTGAATCGGCACTCATAGGGTTGGCTTGTCCATTCCTTCAGATTATTGTCTTTTTAAAGACTCATCTGACCAGGGAAAAAATATTATGCAGTGCATTATAGGTTTGAGTGGGAATTTTTTACCATAAATTTGGAAACTTATGCAAAACTGTATTGAGCCCAATGTGACTCCAACCCAGAACCTCATCCCTGCTTATAAGTCATATTCAATAAAAAAAAAAAGTTGTCAAAGTGATATGCTTAAATTATTCACTTATGATGCTTTAGAAAAATGCAGTCTTACCAGATTCTTCAGTAAATGAGATGGATGAAGGTGACCGTGCAACTTGACTTCTTTGTGTAAAGCATTCTTCTAAAGAATTAAGTGAGTGAGTAGGTTGATTGACTGCAGCTCCTGTGGCAAATTGATCTTGCTGTTGGAGAAAAATATGTAAATACTACTTGACATTTTACTAATATGTTGATTTTGCAGTAGAAAGTAAATGTAATAACTTATTGAATTCCCTGACTGTTGTTGCAGACACAGGAAAATGTGTTCCTCGACATGAATGTCACAGACACAAACATAAGAAATACAGAGATGTTTCACTAGACTTGAGAGGCTGTTACCTAGATTGGGGGTGCTGGGTTGCACTATTGTAATAAGCAAAGAGTTTTGTTTCACAATCTGATGCTTTAATGGCTGGTGATAATTTGGACTACGTAATAATAATGAGAGAGTTCACATCCACTTCAATACCGAACACTCCCCCCCCCCCTTCCTGCCCAGGCCAATTTTCAGCTTTCAGTTCTGTTGCACTTTGAATGACAATTGTGCAGTCATGCAAAACTGTACCCAAATTAAGTTTTTATCATTTTTGAGAGCTTTCTTTTGGTATTTAATCACCACTGGAGTTTTCTTATTTTTTTGCTAAACAAACAAAAAAACAAGAATTTTGCAAAAACAATTTTTTTCTTATTGTCTGTAATAAAATGGGGCTGCACTGATAGTTACATAGTCTGATTAGTCTGGTCCAGATTTTAGACACAGCTGACTGGGAACAACAACATCTTTTGCAACATTCCATGAGGATTTACCTTCTTGAAGAAGTTTTATAATCCTCTCCTTTCAACTGACATCTCTGGTGTTGGAGCCATGATTCATGTCAATCAGCTTGGTGCAACAGCTCACAAAGGTGTGCAAGCACTCTTTTTTTAACTGCAGACTAATTAGCAGATATAACCTGATGCAGATGTTTGTTTTAGAACTGCAAAGTACATGGTGGTTCCATAACCCTTTGATGCTGACCGCACGCAAATTAGCAGCCTCACAGAATTGGGCTTTGTTCCGTGGGGTGGCTATTATGCGTACAAGTCTTTCTGCTGGAAGTGCACCACATGGTGCGCTCCCAGCACAAAGACCGGGGTGTCATTGAAAGTCCCGGGTCCTGTTCTAACGATCGGGACCTAGAACTCCCAATTCTGGGTCACCTAATCGCTGCGATAGCCTCTGATTGGCTGTCACAGTGATCAGTCACTGTGAAGCCCGTCCCCTTGTTTTCTCTCTCTCTTTATGGAGGAGAGAGATACATTGTACTGTATCTCTCTCTGTCCTTTGAGAGAGAAAAAAAACCAAATATGTTTAAAAAATAAATAAAATATATAAATAAAAAATAAACAAAAAATAAACAAGAATACCTAGGTCAAGGTTTGATTTAGGTCTGTGCCAGGGTTAGTGTTTGGGTTGGGTCAAAGTCAGCGTCAAAGGTCAGGGTATTTTTTTTTGGGGGGGGTCAGGTTTTTTTTTAAATTTGTAAACCAGTATCAGTGTCAGAATTTAAAAAAAAAAAGAAAAGCAAATTGCACACTATGGTTTTTGGGCTGTACTATGGGTACAAACAACAACTAACATACACACATGTGGTATAGTTTTCAATTGCTAGGAGAAATTATTTTGGGTTGTTCTTTGGTAATAGGTTATGGTAGTAGCAAGAAATATGCAGCTAATTTTAAAAAAAGGGTTTTTTTGGGTCAGTTTTCCTTTGGTAATAAAAAAAATATGAGGAAATATGCATTACCATTTACCACCAAATGAAAGCCTAATTTGTCCTGAAAAAAACAAGGTATAATTCACCTGGATGTACAAAGTAGTTGTGATGATATGAACAGTTTTGCTAACCGTATGTTAAAGTTGCAAAATTGTGCTTAGGTGTTAAGATTTGTTTTACCCTTAGGCGTGAAGGGGCAATATTTTCCTCAGAATTGAGTGATCCCATATTTTTTTTTCTTCTGCTTGATCTGCAAAAACAGTTGCAACTGACTACGCTTTTCTATCTTTCTTATTTTTGTGTTTCTTAAAGCCAGAAAGTTGGAATGTTGAATGAAAATAGTTTTGAAGAATGTCTGTGATTGTTTTTTTTTTCTACACAATTAAACAATTGAATGAACATTTTCCAAGAGTGGTGATTCCATACTTTTTGCCAGGGGTTGCATACCCCAAACTACAGTGCTGAAAGCAGTGGATCCTTTCCTGATGTGCATTCTGAAAAATGTGGGAGATATCTCACTGATAATTTAGGCAAAATCGTAATATATCGTAACTAGCATTACCTTCATTGGGAAATCCCCCCCTGTGGTAAAATTACATGCACTACAGACCCTGTAAAACTGGTAAATTTTCTTCAAAAAAATTCCCAAAAAAGTCTTTAGTAAATACTTCAGAGGTCATTAAAGTCTTGATGCCCAGTCAAAATTCCACAATTTAGTATTGGTTAACGAACTTGACAATAACTCTATGAGCAATTTGCTAGTTATTTGTTAATGTGACCCTTTTACCACAGGGTTCCTTGTAAAAGAAGTCTGGGTTGCAAAAGGTACAGTATTCAGGTATTCCAGGTTTCCAGATGTATGAATACTTGTTTTCATGCTCATACATAACCTCAGGACATACAAGCTGACAGGAGGAACCACAGCATGCAGTAGGGGTGCAGGAATTTGACACTCCAGTAAGTGTAGAATAACTGCAGCAAGATGGGAGCAGAAAAGTGATAGCATTTGGAGGAAGTAAGGTAAATATACCTGACCTTCTTCTACAGCTCAGGGTTCTTTTACAATGAACCATGTGGTGACAGGATCACCTTAAAGATACATAAGGCTTTCATTTGGTACACTGTTACCCTGCTTAGTTTATTTTATGCTAAAAAATTTACAGAAATATGTAAAAAAATACAGACAGCACATGATGTATTTTAATGTCATTTTATTTTGCTGTTTTTTTTGTGACATTGTATATTCTTTTGTCTGCTTAGCTGAAGCTACTGTAAGGGAAGGGAGGAGCACAGTAACATCTCCAGGCAAAAGAAGTTTGCAAACAAACTTCCAGTGATCATCATGATTGGTTGTATGGTAGAAAGCATTACCACAGCTCTAACTTGGACCAGGAGGAAACATTTGCTCCAAAAGGTCTCTTGCCAGCTTAAAAAAGTCTTGCTACCAATTTCGGTAGCTTTACCAAAACGTGTGGCAGATGCGGGTAGTTCTTAATGAGCATTTTGACACTATGGCTGCACCATTTTAAAAAATAAGTACCTCTAGTTTGCAGATAATGAAACTGGAGGAAATTGAGACCAACTCACAGTTGGAGTACAGAGACAGATAGAGTGCCCCTCTCTGTGTGCTGTGTAGCAGATATTGTGTTTACTGCTGCTTTCCTCCCTTCCCCACCTGTCACTGGTTGTCAAGGATGCTGTCAAATGGAAGTGGAAGGACTAGTTCCCCATAAAGTCCACTCTTATTATGAATGACAGCAGGCAGTGGGTTGATTCTACCCACCCACTGTCTGCTGTCAATCACAAGTGAAGTGAGCCTTAAGGGAAACTAGTGTCTTGAAATTTCCATCAGGCTTCACCCATTCAGATACAAAATACAATGTCTGCTGCCCTGTCCAAGTGACAGCTGCAGTTCAGGGAGGGACCTCAGCAGCACTCAGGACAGAGTGCCCATATGGATGCTCTGGCCTCAGAAAGCCTTCAGGCAACAATTGTGGGGGATTTCCTCAAATTAATTTAGGGTGAGCGTTGACATTTGTCACGTGGAAACAATAAAGAGTATCTACATACTGAATTATGAATTCCCTAAAGTATGTTTACAGAGAATGTGTCTTTATAGAAACATGGAGGCTGCCAGTGCTAACCTGACCCTCTGAAAATCACCCTCTTGCTTCAATACTCTGGAGTTGATTTACTAAAACTGGAGAATGCAAAATCTGGTGCAGCTGTACATGGAAGCCAATCGGTTTCCAGTTTTTTTTTGTCAAACCTTAATTGGACAAGCTGTTGTTAAAAGCTGATTGGCTACCTTGTACAGCTGCACCAGATTGTGTACTCTTCAGTTTTAGTAAATCAGCCCTTTTGAGCCATTGACCTGGAGCAAGTATGGCCCATGTCATACTGACAATTTGACAAAAGCAATTACATGGAGCTCTAGACACAAAGGTAGGCTTACATGATGAGCCTAAGTATGGAATACAACTTATTCCTGAAGCTCAATCATGTCAGCCTACCTTTGGTGATGAAGCCAACCCAAAGGTAGGCTGACATGATGATCCTCCAGGAAACTACAAAATTTACCTCCTTAGCATTTTTGTTGATTGGAAAAAGTTGATTGCAGTCAATGAAAGATTTGTGACATAAGAATTCCTAAGCAGTATCATTGAGCAATTGACAGAATCACCAGTTTCAGGAGGTACTCAGACTATGTTATCGAATGCAGCTGCTGATTACCATCACACCGTTTATTTTTAACCTCCTAGATTTATATTAAAGGCCGGTTCACACCAAGCTGTATGGGAAATTCAAAATGCACTCCATTTGTGATCTGCACCTGGTGTCAATAATAAGTTTATGACACCCCAAACACAGGTTACAAACGCAGTGCTTTTGCCCACACCAGATCACATGGTACAAAAGTACCATGTGATACAGTTGCAGTGCATTTCCAAAAGTAGTGCATGCACTACTTTTGGTGCGGTGCAGTGAGATTTCAGCTCATTCAAGTGGGAACCGGCCCATAGTCAGCTACAACAATAATCCCTACAAATCGCCAGACCAGAAAGTTGCTACAAATACTTTAAAAAGTTGCTAGCACAACAAAAACCAATAGAGTTTACGAGTTCTGGATTTAAAGATCTGTACAATTGTTCCAGCCAGTGAGCCAGCACAATGGACAGCCATCATTTATGTAAGGAGTCAGCAAAGACAACCTTTGCATTTATCCTATAGTTACAATTATCATTATTATCAATAACTATTTGTGTTAAAAACCTTTAAAAAACTTGTGAAAAAAAAACATAAATAATACATTAAAACAGGGGAATTCCCATTGTAAAAGTTACTCCTTCCTCATTGACAAATGGGTTAAACTTTGGTGAATGAGT